CCCACTTCCCAACATTTATAAACCCTTCATTTTTGGTAAAAGCAGTTTTTTGAGGCTTCATTCTTCATATTCATTCCCCTGCTCATTCCTCTTTTGTACCAATAAAGAATTATTACAATCCGGCGTCGATTCAACACACATCGAGCCAAGTCAACACATCTTACCAAATTCAACCCACTGACTCAAGTCAACGCAAGTCAACGACTATCAACCCTGGTTAATAGATTGGTGGTAATATTTGACGCTTGTAGGACCTCTCAACAATTCAATTCAATTCAATTCAAAAAAATTCACGACAACAGATATCTGTATGAATTGATGCTGATGTAAATAAAAAACGTTAAACATTATTAAAAAGCTTATCAATTTATAATTCCGAAAGAAACCTACAAATTGCCCTATGCTTGGAATGTAATGCATCTGCGAGTATAGGAGTTGGTCCATACATATCTAGTTGCCGTGCTCCTTCTGGAGTCTTTGAGAGTTGATAGAGAAGTCCCAAAAGTTCACGCTGTAGCAACTCATCATCGTTTGCATATATTTCTTCCCATGAAAGCAGCTAAATTTTTTTTCAGATTAGAAATAGGCTGAGTTTCTAATATAAGGCGAGTAAAATCCATCACTGCAGAAAACACCTTTCACAGTACTTGTACAACATTCTGAATAAAGGACAAAAAATCAGAAAAATTAAAAATTTTCAAAAAGCCGCATCTAACTTTTATGAGCATATCAACGAATGGATGATCGCGAAGCATGAGATCGGCTGACTGAGGATCATTTCCGAGCTGATGCAACGCTGATACAGCACCTTCAACCAATTCACGCATTGCCACACCATCCGCTAATGCATCTGGATCTTGACGGAGCTGAGTTCCAGCTCGCCCCAAAACATCCACCGCTAGCGTAACCACCGATTCTCCTTTTGATGTTTTTTCCTGCAAATTTAGGAATTACTCGAGAAAGTAAATATTTAATTGTTGGAGATAAAATAAAGATATCACTGAAAAGCAAATTTTTTCTTAAATAAATTCACCATAACACTATAACACTTACATGGGTCAGGGGATGTAAGTTAGCAGGAAGGAGTGCAAGATTTCGAACAAGTCCGAGGGCTGCCTTGACAACTGGTGCTCGCATCGATGAAATTAACTCTAAAATGACAGGCAAAGTTTGTGATAAGCGGATATCACTTTGTGCCTGTGAAGCCAATGGATGTCGAGCAGTACAGTGCCTCAATGCGCAAAGCGTTGGCTCTGTGACTTCCTCAACTGTCGAAAACCGTTCAAGCGCACTACATAATGCATCCATTCCCCTGAAATATCAAGACATTATTTTTTTAACCAAACACAATTAACACTTTAAATACAAATTACTGATTGCTTCGGTTTTTCACAACAGTGGTTTGCAGAATATTAAAGTGAAATGAACCAACCTATTGAAACATAAGGTTTGCTTGTTACGGATATTGTTACATGTCAAATTTGATAGAATGCCAGCAGCACATGCACTTGTTGATTCTTCACCTGTTGCAACAACATGAATTAAACTGATAATCAGAGGTCCTAAGCTACTTTCATTCGTTGCCGCATCTGACAAATTGCGAATAGCACATAGAATAGCAAACTGGGTTCTGTCATCGACGTTATCGATGAAATCACCCAAAATATTGAGTACCCCTGAAAAAAAAAGTGATCAAACAAAAAGATTACAGTGACTGTCCAATCACTACTCTAACAAATAATCCTCTGCCAGTCCTAATCATTTTTTCAACAATTAACCAAACTACAATCCATCTCATTATAAAAGTTGAAAAAATACTAATTATAAAATGATACTACCTAATTATAAAATGATTTAAAACGATTCATTATGAATGAAATTCTTACCGAGAGAAATGAGAGCGGTTTTGTTTTGTGGACATACTGAAAGTGCCCGAATGCAGCGCACCGCAGTATAAACAAGCTTTGGATAATGACGATGTGTGTCCAAAAGATCGATTAATGATGATGGACCACTTAAGGAAAGGAATGAGAGCTTGCTTTGTGGGTTATCCAGTAATAAAAGGTAGAGTGAATCTGTCAGAAGTGCTAAGAAACGTGAATTATTTTCCCGGAGGAGCGGCGTCATTGCTTCCAAACCCCCACATGCCCTTGCTTCCTGCAAATAAATTCGATGAAAAAATCTGAAAGATTCAGCAGGACAAATTACAAAAAATAAGAAATAAAACAGAAGCTAACTTCTTTTGCATAATCCATGAAAAGAAGCAAGTTATGAAGCGTGGTGATGGCATAATGACGAACAGCATCTAATGGGGTTCCAAGCATTCGAACCAACTCCGGAATACCGCCAGAACGGAATATTAGCATACGTCCTTCTGCATGCTCCGAAATATGTGAAAGAGCACCGAGTGCATCTCTTCGTATAGCATCATTTTCCAATCTGAAATCTTTTTCATGACCAATCGACTGCCTCAAAGCAAAAGGTTGAAGTAAGAGTTCCAAAACTGTTTTTTCCAAATCAGTAATCATTTTAAATAGTAATAATATCGAACAGTGTTTGTAAAAAAAATCAATGAAGGAACCGAGTAACACCGCATAAAGCATTTATAAGAGTTGGATTTGAAGCTATTGCATTCACGGCTTTGCTTTCACGCGATAACATATGCACCATATGAACAGCTCGCATAATCACTGTCTATAAGAGAGTTTCATTATCTTTTAAAAACTTACTTCTGACCATTTAACGTCTAAAATGAGGAACGCCTTCTCACATTAAATTCCTGACCCATTCTCAGTGTAGAAAGTCACAAAAGGAGAGAGCAATTGCTAGTCCGCGCCAATATTCTAGAAGTATTCTAGAACCAGGTTACTATCGAATCTGATCTCCCTACAACTATGCTGAAAAAATTCAGAACTATGAGCTAGTCAGAAATAGGAAGTCATTATCCAACATAAGAATAATAAATGGTCTTTCAAATGTCCTGCGACAACAAAAACTGGATGTATATAAAATTCACTTAGTGGTCAGAATGAGTAGGTGCTTCACAAATTCAAAAAAAGAACTTGTATTGAAAAAGATCATAATCATTATTTGGAAGCCTGATGTTACTCTTTTTTTAAATCCTGCGAAATTAGCACATCAGAAGTAAGATTAGGAAGTCGATTTAATGCAGCAAAAGCTGCGCTTTTCCGCGAAAAGGCCTGACCGCATGGTGGACAGCTAACTCTTCGAAGGTTGAACAAACAAGCTGTGAAGTCCTATCATTTTTTATATCTGCCACCTATACTTCTTCAATCAGCCCAGTAATATTTTCAGAGGAAATACTTCCACAAGAAGGACGCAAAAAATATTTCCCATGAGTTCGTTGCATCGCAAATCATCAATCTCTAGGAAAGAAATAAGCTTGTTTCTAGCTAGCAAAAATGTATTGATTAAAATATATTCATAATGAATTCAAATTCATGGTTTGGAATTTCAATTACTCTTGCTACTAATCTAATGATGTCCCTTTATATATTTCTGTTTAGATCATACTATTTCAGATAGAGAAATGCGGAAATTTCTACTCCTTGCAATTGGAAAGATTTAACTATAAAAAATTTTCTTTCGTGTAAGTGTAAGTTACCTCATCTTTATCCGCAAGTAATTTTACAAGTTCAGGAATTGCTTTTGTCGTTAATTCTGTTTCATCTTGAAGACTGAGCAATTCTACAACAGCGGTTGTTAGCAGTTGGCTTGGCTCAGCTAATTTCGCAACAATTGTTGAACGATATGGTAATGATGCCATATCACTTGTTTTAACAGGATACAAATCGGGGAACATTGCAGCGCGAATGCGATCGCTGCGCGTTTGTGCATAACTTTCATCTATTGCTGCAGCAAATACAATCTTACTTCATTGGCTTTATTCATAGCAATAATTTTGACAAAATTTCTCAACTTTTTAAATGCAAAATTTCCTTGAACATCATATATGAATCCTTTCTACTTGGATCATAATCCTCTTTACTCATAGGACTGTTCGGTAAATGAACAGCAACGTAATAAAACAACATAGTTTGCTTAAGGATTCCAAACAAGTTCAATACAGTTTCCATAAGGGTTTCGAACGAATTCATCATATGAACTTCGAACAGACCCATAAATACTATGAGCAACCGTTAATTTCTACAAGCAATCGTCAATTTTTTTTTTTCTTTTGAAATCTTGCCAATCATAACTGCTCTAAATATAATAAATCACAGTAAAAAGAAATGACGAACTTTTGAATATAAAATAAAATATATGCTAAATATTGACTTCGAAATAAATCAAAGACTAGGATAAAAATATTAAAAGCACATTCACTGATGACACAATACTTCCGTCAATTCAAACTTCTTCAATTATAACTGCAATATATATAACTTGTTTTCATTCAGTAAGATTATTTCTATATCTGAAATTTTTCCCAATATTTCGTTAGCCATCATCCTAATTTTTTTCTCAAATCTACGACGAATAACCATTCCGCATGTTACACTTTTCGAAACAGCGTATGAACTTACTTTTAAATAATACGTATGCATAATTTGCTTCAGAATTGTTGCTGAGCAAAGGAGACAGATTATGATCAAGACGTAACGCCTCACCATTCTCCATCCTTATATCCTTTGCTATCTGAAAAAAAAACGATAAATTAAGTCATATTTTGTAGAAAAATGCTACACGATAAAAGCAAACAGATTATGATGGCAAAAGTATAAGATACAATATTTTCTCTCTTCTATTTGAAATTAAAATTTCCATCAGTTGTCATCGACATGGCAACAGAAAATAAGCTATAAAAATTAGTGAACAATCAAATCTACAACTCTCAGATCATCCAATAAACATCAAATTCCAGAAAAGCTAAACAATCACCAACATAGCCATCACCCAATCCTTAGCAGTATAGCGCTCCTATATTTCACGGCAGCCGTTGAAATCAGGCTGGGATGCCGTAAGCGCAATCTGTTTCGATCTGCTCCGGTTTTGCTCCATCAGGTTTTACGATATCTTGTAAGGTTGTCTGCTGGTTTTCGCATCGTTCCGGTAGTTTTCAGGTTTTACAAGTCTCTGGAATTTTAAATTTTTTTTGCGGGGATGATTGTCGACTTTTACATTTTTCCGGTTCTTTGTTACTCATATTTAGAATCCATTTTATAACTCTTAATCCGATAATTAAGTCCCGCTTCCATCTCGTCTTTTTTTGGATTTTTATAAAACTAATGCAGAAAACATTAGTACATCATCAGATCATTAGATCCGACAATTTGTTTATTTATAATTTAATTGTAAGTTGAGATTCAGAGAATAATGAGTAATGAATTGTTTTGAAAGCTTTCAAATTTGAAATGAAAAACTCCGAAGTCCTCATAAATTTCTGCTGATCTGTTGAAATCTCTTTGTATCTACAAGTTTGTATTTTCAATAATCCTCAAGCATATAATAGGTCGTTTTCCCAAAAAAATTTAAATGACTTAAATTTTTAATTTTTTCCTCCAAAAGTTGACAAAAAGGGAATGATTGATTTTCAAGATTGCAGAATGTGTTATTTGTACAAACAAATATAAATTAGTAGAAATGATTTACACAGAAAAGTGATATGAATAGATAAGGAAATGATACTTTCTTATACACATTTATACCTTTTTAGTTTTAATGAAGCATTAAATTTTTTTTAGCACGTCTGATGCTACAATGGAAAATGAAGACGAGTAAGACGATTTTGTGAGAGAAAATTAAATATTTACTGCTGAATGTTTATCGTTAAATTAGAGGAAAAAATCCTGGCATTTATTGCCTTTTGTAATAATCGAAAAATTTATCATTTCCAGTACATCCCACCTAATCCATTTAATCGAAATAAATTTTTTCAAAGCAATTTTTTTTTTATTCGTTCATTTTCCAATTCAGTGCTACAACATCGAATTCCCCTACGCATACACAAAAATAAACTTTAAATTTCAATTAATTGAACGAAAGCATACGTAAGCAGTGTTTTTTATTCTGCCTTTATTAAAGTAATTAACGATAGCCAATGTCATCCACATTCTCATATTGTCTAGCAGATACATGTCGTGTTGCATAACATGCATTCATAATTTTTCGCAACATACGACATTCTCTATCCGTCCCTCATCTTGCACAGTAACCTAGACTGTTCAGGAGGTCAACTATTTGCTAAGGTTGAAATTGTAGGGATTCAATTTGATGGGCCACATAAATGAAGGACGCGTGCTTTTGTGGCGTTGCTCGATGCGTTAATTTGGTTTTACTAAAAAAAAAAAAAAGAAATTTGGTTCTTTTGTTGATAAAAAGCTAATTAGCTGGACATTTCAAGCACTTAAAACTTTTTAAATTTCGGATATACGTAAAATAATAATGGGAGGCGAAGTGAATTGCAGTTGCGTTGATCCAACAAAATGGAATGCAGCCCAGGCTTTTGTTTAATCCAAAACATCACTTTTTATGAAATCAATGCTTTAGCAATAAAATAAAATGTGTAAGCAAGTTGACGAAGTTGAAATTTCCGGATAAAATGTTTCACTGAAATAATAGTACGCGTATGAAATTCGTATTTGTCCATTCTATCACTTCCTCAGTAATTATTTGTTTTCAGTTGTTTTGTGCTGCCAAGAAATATTAATAAGATGACAGATAACTCACAATTAGAACGGAAACCATCACGGAGCATCAATGATGCCAGAATTGCTGGACTTTACGATCTACAAAAAACCATAGGCAAAGGTCATTTCGCTGTAGTCAAATCGGCGAGTCATGTTTTTACGGGTGAAAAGGTAAGTCTTTATGTTTTAACAATTCTTTAAAATATTTGATGGGACTGATATTCTCTTTAGATGATAAAATGAATATTTCCATATATGCTTCATTTCGAATTGGCAAGTCTTTTTTTGACAAATTGCATCTCACATTTTATATATTTGTGGGATACAGTGTTATGAAAAAAGTTTGTGATTCATATATCTTGAATTGTTAGACTGGGAAATGATGAAGCAGAATGAAACTCTCAGTTTTTTAGGTAGCTGTGAAAGTGATTGATAAGACAAAATTTGATTCCTCAATGGCATCTCATCTGATAAAAGAGGTGAGTAAATTTTATTCTAATTTTTTTTTTTTTTTTTGAAGAAATGAATGTTTTTTCAAAAATTGTTTCTCTTATTTTTAAAACTTTGCGATATTATTTGCAGTGATTATTAAAATGATTTTTAATAAAAAATCAGTTAGTTTAAGATATCATGTCTTACTTTACAACGTTGTGATATGCTTTTCAAAAACAAAAATTTTTTTGCATATACACGTATTTGCAGGTTCGTTGCATGAAATTGGTGCAACATCCAAATATAGTTCGCTTATATGAAGTTATAGACACGCAAACGAAGTTGTTTTTAATTCTCGAATTAGGAGATTATGATATGTATGATTTTATTACGAAAAATGCTGATAAGGTTAGCATTTTACAATTCTTGCTACCATGTCTATGTATGATGCATCCGAAAATAGTACTAGGATAATGATGTTAACAGTTGTTGTAGCTGGATCATGATTTATATGCATGGACATTGAAAATCTTTCAGGGTTGCCCAGAAAGCGAAGCACAACAATATTTTTGCCAAATTATTAAAGCAATTGATTATTGTCATCAGCTGCATGTCGTTCATCGAGATCTAAAGGTACAATATAGTTCTTTCCCGTTTTATGAACTTTGTTTTCTTATTTGCAAAATTTAGTTCTCTTGTTTTCGAATGGTAAATAAATTAAATAAACCATCATCATTATTACAGCCTGAAAATGTAGTGTTCTTCGAACGCCTGGGTATGGTAAAATTGACAGATTTCGGGTTCAGCAATAAATTTATTCCTGGCGAGCAACTTGAAACTGCGTGTGGTAGCTTAGCTTATTCAGCTCCAGAAATCTTGCTGGGGGATGCTTATGACGCTCCAGCCGTTGGTAAACTTCTAAATAAATTTATTTTTCACGAAAAATAATTGGGAAGGATTTACTGAATCTTATTCTACCAACAACTTTTCTGACCTCTCACATACCGTTTAACTAATGATAGATAAACAAAAACACAGATATAAAAGTTGTTACAAAATAATTGTAGAGATTAGACATTTAACCCAGTGTGATTAAGTTCTAATAAACCCCTCATAACAAATTCTGTCATGAAACGACAAAAAGGAGGTCGACATATTATTAATGGTATCACAAATTTTAGATGTCTGGTCACTGGGAGTTATTTTGTATATGCTGTTATGTGGTCGACTGCCGTTCCAGGAGGCAAATGACTCGGAGACTTTGACAAAAATATTAGATTGTAAATACTCTCTTCCAGATACACTTTCGCTACATGCTCGCTAGTAAATTTTATTTTAACAAATTTTATTTATGCTTCACATAGCTCCTCCCCTTTGTTTTTGTTTATATTTTTACATAGTTCCTCCCTTTTATTTTTGTTTTTTTTTTTACATTTTCTGAATGAAGGTCGATTATTTGAAGGGCATTCTTCTAATTCTTTTAACATCTCTATCATTCTTGTTTATTTACTCGCACTGTTTGTTTTAAATTTTCAGCTATAGAGTTTTTATGGTTTTAAAGGGAATATTAAAAGGATAATTAATAACTTTTTGAAAAGGCCTCGTTTATTTATAATGCAAAGTAATGTATTGCAGTCTCATATCAAGAATGTTAGTGAAAGATGTCCAGAAGCGTGCAGCACTTAGCGAAATTATTAACAGTTCATGGGTGAAAGCTGGAGATCTTGGTCTTGCTCAGATTTTACCCTTGGTTGGACGAGAATTGCTTCCGGAAAGTGCACATGCTACAATCATTGAACAAATGGTAGCCGGCGGTGTTGATACGGAAGAGAATATTCTTCGGTAAGCAGCTGTTTCATACTAAATAACTCAATGACTGTTTTGATTATAAAATTGTTTTCAGACTATGGAGAGACTATGGACTGTTTAATTTTCTTACATCTAGCTTATAAAATTTGCATTGTGTCATTTATTGATGAAAATTTGCAGATCGTTAGAAAGTGATGATTTTTCCTACGTTACTGCCACTTATTATTTACTTGCCGAACGAGTTCTAGCATCTTATCGTGAAGAACGCGCCAGAAAGGCACATGAAGTTGAACGTCCGTCGTTATGTGACTTGCCATCTGACTTTAAAAATTGTTCTGAAATAAGGTTTTTACTTCTGCGAAACTTCCGTTAAATTTTCAATTACTGAAATTAAAGCTAAATATGAGGTTTTAAGCTGTGTTTTCCATGGTTCTGTTTTTTTATTATTTGAAAAATAAATGGAAAGAATAATGTTGTTGTTTATTTTACAGAGAGACAATTGGAAAAAGTGAAGAAGGGAATGGTTATAAAAGTAGAAGTCGATCCAATTCATGGCGCAGTGGCACTTCTGTTTCTCGACGACCATGTACAATTTTGAAAGAAGAAAGTGAAGAAGAGTTATCAACATATCATTGCGGTACATCGAGGCAGTCATCAAGGTGCTTTTTATTTATCATACATATTCCATCCATTTTGCTTTTAGTGACTATATGAAGTGATAATTTTTCTCTTATCATCATTGAAATAATTTTTTTTTGATGACCAGACCCAGTTAATTTGTAATTTATATTTTATAGATAATGTTCAAAATCCCTGTACGCGCTCTATTAGTTATTACTTAAATCATTTTTTCCCTCTTGCGCTTATTTCTTTCTTTTCTTACTAAGGTAAACTTAAAAATAGTAAATTCCAAAAAAGAAAACATAATATCTTAACTGCAATCCGCCTAATATTTCACCAGCCATTTATGATGCTTTTTAAACGTACACAAGACCTCTTTGCACAGTGAGCGCTTATATATGACTTGAGTTTTATCTTTTTGGCATAACAATAGCCGACATCTTGATTCTCTTCATTCTGTCTACATTCCCCACCCCTTTGCTATGCTATATATTTGGCTCAATAATTACATGAAAATGAAGATTTACGATTTCAGATTTCTTTTTTTTCGAAACCCTGCAGAAAACCCTGCATTTTTTATTAGCATACTACTTTACGCCCTTTTAGCATCATTATATAACTTGAAACAACTAATTATTAGAAAGTTTGACATGCTAACGGAGGTGTTTTGCTAAGCTGTTTAAAATTGTTATAGATACAGTGAGCTTTCGAGATTCGTAAACAGAAAAGTTTAAGTCGTTTGAAGATTTTTCTACAATGTTCACAGCTACAAATTAGACAATGTTTTTGTTTTGTTCTCTTCATTGATTTGGATTTTTGCACACAGAATTACTTGCGCTACGACTGAAAATTTGTCTTTATGGTACGGTCGACTCTTTCAGCATTATTTGAGCAGAAATTAGAGAGGAATTTTTATATCTTTCCCTAGCAAAATCACAGAATGCAGGTGGTAAATTTGTCTACACAATCTTTGCATGAAACTTCATTTTTAGACTTGTCTAGACCGCTTTTCATGTTAGATCTTAATATTATGGCATCAGCGTAACGATAACTAACATTTTCTGTTTCTGTAGTCTTTAATTTTCGTCAGCCGGTTACTGCCATATCTGCATCCGGTGAAGGGGAATAAAAGTGCTGAATTTGAAAGATAATCAGAAATATAACATTTCATTTGTGTATCTGGAGTTTTATTGGTTATAGAACCCATTTTATTTTTTTTAATAGTACATTTTTATTGGAACTTCCATCACTAATTACCGATCTAATATAGTAATAATGTCGAAACCCTGCAGAAAACCCTGCATTTTTTATTAGCATACTACTTTACGCCCTTTTAGCATCATTATATAACTTGAAACAACTAATTATTAGAAAGTTTGACATGCTAAATAATCTCCTTTGCTTTTCCAGTAAAATTTTATATTTCCCTTACGGTAGTACATTTTGTGAGAAATATTCCAATCTCTAGGAACTCCATTAATTAGGATGCATATTAATTCGAAATGTCTATAAATCTGCATTTTTAGGCACTCATCATGCTCTGCGTCAATATTTCCTTCCAATTCTAGTTCACATGGACGAATATCACCCCAGGATATCCAGGGCTTATTGGAATTATCACGTTTAAATATCGCAGAAGGTAAAAGGCGAACAGTTTCACCAGACAGTCATCTGAGCAGTCGAAGCTCTAGCCCACCAAGTTCGAGTGGTCGTACAAGTCCTGGTATGCTATGCTTTTTTGTCATTTAATTACTCTTTTTATGGTTTTAAAACTTTTTTGGATGCATTCCAGCAAAAATGTAATAATTTAGCAAATTTAGCAATTGGTCGACTGAAGGTTCCTTTTGCTGGATCTAGTGGATTGCGAAAGTTAGGTTCATCGCCACACTTGCTTGGGATTTGCGAGGTATTTGCTTTTCAAATATTTATTTTTGTGTGTTAAAATCAAATAAAGCTTTACATTAAAAAGAGTTCAACACAAAAATTGTGTATGTATAGGAGACGGAAGAATATGAGTTCGACAAAGGTGCGGAACAACGTCAGACTATAACTCGTCGTAGTATTTCTGGTGCATCGATTATGCCTCTGTCGGCATCTCGACTTTTCGTTCAACCGAAGGTATCATTTTTATAAATTTGTATAATAATTCCTAAACCGAGGCATCGTTCACGGCGGCTTAGCACTATCGAATCATGGCATGACGTATATTCCAGAAGCTTCAAACAAGCCAAGAAAACTCCACAATGTTGTAGCCGGCAGTAATCAGGCACTTTGATGGATTCAACTGAATGGTGAGGAAACTAACATCTTTCAAAAGATTTATATTATTTATAAATTCGGATTTGTTTATAAAATTTAAACAGTATTTTTGTTTCGCATGAGTCTATTTATGTCGAACTATATTGCATTTCACTTTGTTGTTTGAGGTTTTAGAAACACTATTTCACTTCCATTTTCCACCTCCGCGCATTTCTGTTCCAATTTTGTTATTCGTTATTCTAGCTTGGTAAAGAAGATTCTGTGGGTGCAACTCTTACATACAGTAATGTACGCATGATTAGGCAACGTCAAGCAATAGTTTCACCAGATATGACTCAAAGGTATGAGCAGAGATCGTCTTCAAAATATCGTGCAGTAAAACTACAAAGGAGCACAACGTTTGACTACTCTAGCTATTGATTGTTACAGTTATAAATTGCTTATAATTTGACGTCATTTGGTAATGTAATTGCTTGGGCATAATAAAAGTTTTGACAGATTTTGATATTACAGCTGTTCATCAAGCGAAACATCGGATGATGACAGTGAGAGAAGATTGAATTTTCTGGCCTCCAAATATTGTTATAATTATGGAAATCGACGAGATAACAACGATGATCCATCAAACGGTTGATTCATATAGGCATTTTAATAACGTTATTAGCGTTGGGATAAGAAATTTTAATAATATTTCCCACTGAAAAGTAGTTTTTTTTTTTTTTTTTTGGAACATTATCAAGGATAAAGTGTAATTTTTTCTGCTATTATTCAGATGACGGAGGAGCATCGATTGGTCCAAGCAATTCAGGAAATGAACAAGACACTGGAAACACGATAAATACTTTTGACAATATTTCATACGGTCATGACTGTCAACATTCTGGTATGTTAGCTTATATCTCTATATTAACCAATGATTATGGCATAAACGAATTTGCTATGCATTCAGCTTTAGTAAGAAAGTGTTAATCTTTTCCGTCATTTCGCTCATTTTAACATAGAACCCTTTTGCTTCCCGTGCCAGGCAGTTTCGACTTATAGTTTGCTTGCGTGTCCTATATTTCTTGCATTCATTAATTATTGATTATTCCAATGTAAGTCGGTAGCGTTTCAGAACAGTCATCTCGATATCGCAGTTGGTTGGGTCTAAAACTGTTTGATATTACTCAAGTGGTTCCTACAGCTTTACATCCTATCAGAGAAATGCTTCTCTCTCATTCACTCTTTTTGAGGTTTCTTTTAATTTTTGAAAAAAAAAAACTATTTTAAAAGAATTGTTGCTTTAAAAAAGTCACAATCAACGTAATTTTTATATTATAAAGAGTTAACCAAACCACAATGCTAATATAATGTAAAGACACTTTGAAATGTTGATGACTGCAGTTTAAGTCATAATAAGTTTGTTTAAGAAAAAAAAAATAATGATACGGAACATTTGATCCAAAGCATAAGTTAGTGCAATTTATTAAGTACCGTACTCTCCTCTTTTTGGATCGAAAATGGCTGAAGAAGTGATAGCAGAACGAGTGGATTTCTCATGTCTTTATTTGACCCGAATCAAAAAACAAACTAAACGTTGTGCTTTTACACTGGTAAGACATTTTCTGTTGGATGGAAAGACCATAGTTTTGATGACGTTTATAATTACAATGCTTTTCAGATTTATCACTCTCAATACTTTAATATTATCTGTAATATTGTTTGGGAAAGATAATGTAGTTTCAAGTTATTATTTTTAAGGAACTAATAATGACCGATACATACCAATTTAATTTGTAAAAGATCATATTTCCATTATGATTTTCCGAAAGACTGCAAAAATGACTGATCAAACTTTCTATATTATTATTCGATTTTTTTCATATTTCTTCAATGCTTACAACAAATATCATGTCGTGTGCTACTTTTAACATCAGTAGTAGACAAACTGCTAATAAACATATTATGAAGCATTGAAATGAAATAAATTATTATGAAAGCCGTTATTACTTGTTTTTATAGTGTCTGATGGGAGAAGAAAGTGATTCTTTTCCATGGACCGTACAGATTCTGATTGTTCATCCGATGATGATGTAAATTCTGCTGTTTCACGTAATGATTCTGAAAGACCTTGGAAGCAACATATGCAGAGGAAATATTTTTTATTCCAAATTAGGGAACACAATGATTTTGTTACTTCGTAGAGATGATCTCACATTAGTTACATTCCTCCTTTTAAGTCTTTCTGTTTTGATGTGCTAATACTATACGAGTTTTGCGTGATTGTTTTAATGGATTTTTAAAACATGAAGAATAAACATAATTTTCCATTCTATTAAAAAAGATAAGTTATGGGATTGCTCCAGAATTGGATATGCAGTTTATCTAAATAATATCTCAAATCAAGCAGCATTTTCCAAGACACGTAGTATTAATTTTGTTTAATTTATTTCAATTGGGCTTATTAAAGTGGGAGACGAAGAAAGTGCTCAGAAAAGCTTATTATTAGTAACTGTAAATTGTTTGTTGAATGAAGAAAGCGCGAGTAATTATTGAGATTTTAATCAAATAATTGAGTAGTTTAAACGATTGTTCTTAAAAATTGCTACTGATATTTTGTTTGATATTATGGGATATTTGTGTTTTTTATTTCTTCAAGGTTACGCCTCTTTTATTGGAGTACAAGGCTTGCTTTACAATTTTTTGCTGTTTTTTTTTATTATCATTTTATAGTTTTTCAGTTTTCTGTAGTGCATCATTTCGACAATTTCACACCTTTGTTTTTCGTTGTTGTTTTGCAGCAATACCATTTTTCTTGAGAAAGCCTATTTGCCTCCAATCATTAATTATATATTTTGTTATTTTTTATTTCGCTATTCATTTAAGTTCTTTCTTGCAAATAAAGATTAAATAGGTCAATAAAATTATGGCCATTTGTGGCATTTCTCTTATTCAGTTTCTTTATCTTTAAGTTCTGTTATTTGCATAACAAGTTGTTTGTTTTATCATAGATACTTAATTACTTATTAACTGCCCTAAAAAATTAGACGGTACATATATTTGTTATATTGCTTCTTCTTGACTTCGCATAATAACTACTATGAATATAGAGGAAATTTTTCGGAGATCTGAAGTCTCTATCTAGCTTAAAGGACATTCTTAAAACCATGTATAAAACATAATGGAGATTGTACTTTCACCACTTTCTGTTTGCAGATATGTAATTTCCGTTTTGTAATTCAGCATTTTTTATAATGAATTTCTACTTTTTTTTATTTTGGAATATTTGTGAATTGATGAAGTGATATTTGCTTATAAATAAAGTCTTTCGTTGTTTGTAATTGCATATTAAAAGTCTTTACCACTTTTCAGTTGTTTACAGTCGAAACAACCACTTTTGAATACATTTTTACATTCTTGAATCTTTCAAACTCTGAATTAAAATAAAAAAATAAATTTTTATTTTGTTTCTGGTGTAAAGTTTCATTTTTTATTATTGAGAAATGAAGTCTCCGCAAGTTCATTTGAAAAAGTTGGTCAACTCGCTGTTCTCTCCATAATTTATACTCTCTTAATAAACTGTGAGGACTCGAACATTCTCCCAGACTTTCAGATTTTTCGTAGGAAATGAAGCAATTCATAATTCCTCGTTGGGTTCTCCAATTAATTAGATGTGGTTTGAATAGTTTTAATAATCATCCAATTCTAGATTTACCTATTACTACTTCCTTATTGTATTTATCTGTCATCTTTCATATTTACTGATGACTGGAAGGCAATATTTGTTTCAAATGGAATCAACAATTTTTTTATTGCCAAGGGTCAAGCATGGTTTGGCTACATTTTGCTCGGAAGCCTATGCTTCTCATACAAAAAAACCAATGTTGGTATGGCCAAGGAAGGTATACACTTTAAAAGCTTAATTACTTTGATTCAAAAAAAATAAAGTTTTTAGGAGTTCGATTAAAATATCCGATAAAATTTATTATTGTCTTTTTACTATAAGCCAATCGAAATGGTGTAAATCGTTTGGATTTTGTCGTTAAACTTATTCAGTTGTTATATTGTTTGAGGAATATGGTATATCAACAAAATTATTTGATCTGGAACAATACTGGAAAGAAGTTTCACAGACAGCACCAACTGTTTATGTTAGTCTTTTTTTCTTAAATAGAAGGGTCAGATATTGACGAAAAATTATAATCAGAAATGCATTTGATGAGATTTCGATCTTTTTTTTTAAAAAAAAAGAAAGAAATATTGAATTAAATATTATTTTTGTCTATGGCAATTTTTCAGCCTTCACGACCAAAAAAATACATCCTTTCAATGTATCCATATCCATCAGGAAAACTACATATGGGACATATGCGAGTATATACGATATCAGATGCACTTGCTCGTTATTATAGGTAACCTCAAATTTTGCTGTATCTAATAAGATAGCAGGAATAGTTTGGAAATGGAATATGGGGCAGATCTGATCTGTCATTTCAATTTTTCAACCGGATATTATCTGTATTACTCTAAATGAATAGAAGATTAATTTGCTTCTTACTTGAACATTATCTTTATCAAAAAAAGTTAAGTTTAGATTGAACGGTTACAATGTTATTCATCCAATTGGATGGGATGCTTTTGGTTTACCAGCAGAAAATGCTGCTCGAGAAGCGGGCGTTGATCCAGCGCAATGGACAGCAAGGTATTGTTTTAAAATTTAGTCCTTCAATGAAGATTTTGTAACTTTTTAATGTATTCGATGAACTAAACTTATTATTGGTGAAATACTCAGGAGTCTTATTATACTGTTTCAGCAATATTGATGTGATGCGTCAGCAACTATTGAGTACAGGCATCATATTTGATTGGAATAGAGTAAGCTTTTTTATTTCGGGTAAGAAATCAATTTTTGTTTTGAAAAATTTGAAGCTTGCTGCTGTTTGATGAAAAGCATGGATATAGTTTAAAGAATGATAAATTTCATTTTATATGAATATTTTGTGTTTTTCTTAACCTCGAATTAGTTCTACTCACTGAGTGATAAATGAAGTTATGTGACCGATTACATCTCAATAACATCGATAGTAGTATATTAAAATTGCGATGATTTTGATAATATCAAATTGCTGTCTAGAAATATTGTGAATGAAAAGTTTCATTAAGGAAATTTCGACGTGCTCGCCGGATTACTATCGTTGGACGCAGTGGATTTTCTGTCGACTCTTTGAACGTGGCTTAATTCGACGAGCTTTAACGGAGGTCTTTTTTTTGTTTCTAAAATTGGTCTTTTTTTATTTTGTAGCCCGGGATTTTGCAAAAATTTCAGGTGCATTGGGATCCCATCGATTGTACGGTTCTCGCTGCAGAGCAAATTGACGCAGAAGGTCGTTCATGGCGTTCTGGTGCAATTGCTGAAAAGCGTAAAATAAAGCATTGGATGATTGAAACGCCAAAATATGCTAAGGTTAGTGTTATAATTTGAAACTTTCTACATGTTTATTTTAGCTTACTTAATTCTAAAATTTTCAGCGCATGTACGATGGACTTGAGAAATTAACTCACTGGAAAGAAGTAGCAGCCATACAAGCTAATTGGATTGGGAAATGTAGTGTTTGGCGATTTTTACTACCTTTAAAGGTAACTTACTATTGATAAGGATTAACATCCTTTAATTGTTAATGAACTATCTTCGAATGATTAATATGTTTTGCATGCATTTGCGCAATTTTCAGAAAGCATGATATTGAACATGCAAGCCTTTCTGCTATTTTGGTAAACGGAAATTATCTTTAGCCTAAATTATTGAAGTATCTGAATTAATTGATGATACTGTACCTTATGTTTCGGTTTAAGATTCATTTATTGATTCATTACTTCTCTTAAAAAAATGCGAAGTTTTTAAGGAGAGAAACGGTACATTGCTGGACGAAAAACTTGACCTTCGAATACGAGAACCACATTATCTAGCCAATGCTAGTGTTGTTTTCATTCAACCTGGCCATCCTCTCTTCAACTTAGCTGACGAAAAAGAAGAAATAGGTCAAGTAATTAAAGTTAAAAGTAAAACCATGATTAATAATGTTCCATATGAACCTAACAATTGATAAATCTTGAATTTCACTTTTTTAAATCTGTGGAGGATTTCACTTATTTAATGTTTGATGAAAATAAGGTTTAAAATTCGTGTCTTTATGTTGCTTATTAACTTTCAAAATTGTTTCTGGAATAGCTACATGAATTTCAGGTGTTTTGAATGTGACTGCATTGAACATTGTAAACGGAAAAGATATGCATATCATTTATATGAATAAAAATGCTGCTAAAAATGGTAATGAATTCATCTTGAATGCAAGACTTTCGTGTAACGAGGAGGAATTTGATAGGAAGATTTTAGAAAGTTTTGGATTCTCAACAAAACCATCTAGAATTGCTTTCACCAATAATGATGTAATTCAGATTGCTGAAGTTAGTTTTATTTGATAAATATCTCATTACATTTTCATATACAGTTTTTACTTTGATCGTGTTGCTTTTATATCGAATTTGTTGAACACGACAAACATTTCACTGCATTGAAACGAAATCACTTCTATCCAGAATGTAAATGTATTTAGCACCATCGAATTATATTATTTTTCGTGAAACTGTTATACCGGATTGATAGATCTAAAAGTAGTTTTTTTGTTTTTAAGATTTTTAACGAAATGTTTAATTCTAATTTTTCTTTTGTAAGAAGTTCTCATTTAAGTTTGGAGATTACGGTGGCTATGAAACAAGTGAAAGATTACTTGACTGGGTTGTTTCAAGGCAGCGGAAGTGGGGTACTCCAATACCGGTATTACTTAGTGCTGATGACCGATGTGCTGTTGCTGTTACTGATGATCAGTTACCTGTTATTGCCGCTCATTGTAAATACGACGAAAAAATTCCATGTCAGAGGTTAGTTCTGGATTTTTTATTATTTTGTTAGTTTTCTAGAAGCTCAAATTTGAAGTCCGGATTTCAAGATTGTTTTATTAATATATCGAGCCATCATTTTTTAATTAATCTGAAATTTAACACATTTATTTAGTAGAAACTTCTTAATTAGATTATGGAACACTTTATGAATATTGAACTAACAAATACTTCTATTTTCAGATTGCCCGATGGATTTGGATATTGGGAAAAGGATACTTTGGATACTTTTTTTGATTCCAGTTGGTATTACTTAAGGTTTGTTTTAAAACTTGATCTATTAGAATGATACTAATATTATTATGAGGGTAAATGAGAATTTTGCAGATTTCTTGATCCCAAAAACGATACGGAATTGATTTCAAAAAAGAAATTTGTAAATATGCCGGTCGATGTTTACGTGGGTGGAATAGAACACGGTAATTATATTCCATACTGCTCTCCTTTTTTTATTTTTTATTTTTTAAAAAATTTGAAACGTTGAAAATAGTCTAAATTGTCGATTTACTCGTAGATATGATATCTACTATTTATTAAATATCTGGCTTGTGTCTCACATAATTTTCGTTTGCTTGTACAAATAATTGCAGCTGTGTTGCATTTATTTTTTGCCCGATTCATATCCTATTTCTTACACGATATTGGTGCATCACCTGTGCAGGAACCTTTTGATAGTTTGTTACCGCAAGGGATCGTATGTAGTCGCACTTTTAAGAGAAGCGATAACGGGAAGTATGTTAAGGAAGATGATGTTGTCCAAACAGGTAAGGGAATTTTAAAAATTTGAAGTTTATCTATAGTTAAATTTGGTCTATCACTATTCAACAATTTATTAGGATCTGACTTTCTACGGATTTCTAACTGGAATTCTCACTGATAGTACCAAATCTCGAGGAAAACATAGAATCTGAAAAAGATAAAACAGACTCTGCGAATAATTGAATCATCGTAGTGATTACTTTATGAGCACTTAATAGTCCTAATTACTGGTAATGAAAACTACGTATTTATTTATTATTCACCGAAGATTGGAACTTGCAATAATAACTCGATATCTGTAGCTATCTCTTGATTTTTTTGCAAATATATAGCTAAGATAAATGAATCATATAATCATACAGGAAATGGTTTTATCATAAAAAGAGATGGGTGTGCAGTAGTTACGCAGTTTGAGAAGATGTCGAAGTCAAAACATAACGGCGTTGATCCATTAAGCGTGTTAAAATTGAAAGGGATCGATTTGACTCGTTTGCAGTTGTTGAATGAAGCTGCACCGAGAGAACCTATTAACTGGGGAGATACAGGTTTTTTTTTCGAACTTCAATCTAATCTGCGCTGGAATCTAATTTAAAGATACTGAAAAAATGTGAGCAGATATGACAAGTGAGCACAGTCTTTAGGAATAAAATGCAAAACACCAAGTGGGCACAGTCTTTAGGAATAAAATGCAAAACACCAAGTGGGCACAGTCTTTAGGAATAAAATGCAAAACACCACCAAATTATAGAATTATAAAAATAGAGTACTTTGCAGTTGTTATATATTTACTGATATATGTAGAGTATTTAATTAAATCGTATATTGCCACCATCTCCTCTTTTTTTTAATATTTTCAGAATTTTTTTTCAGAATTAAAAGGTCTTTTCAAGTTTATGGAACGAACGTCGGACGTCGTTAGCTTCTACATAGAGCAACGTCAATTCCCATCTTCAACTTCAACTGAACCATTAGACATTGCAGAAGAAGAAAAATATCGCACTATCTATAATTTTTATGTTCGTAATGTAAGTTTATAGCGTATTTTTCATTTTTGTACTGTAGAGAAATACATACTAAAGTCGAAATTTTTTAATTTTTTTTCAAACACTTATTAATTCACAAAGTAAAAGAGATGTTCAAGGATTGTTTCTAAAAGATATACCTGCTATTCCTTTTGATAATCTACTTTTAGATCTCTATGGTTATAGAAGTTTTACACTTGCATAACACTGCAATAAATTATCTGCAAGCTTTCGTCAGGCTTTTAAAGGTGAAGGGAATCTTTGATATGTAATTGTTTTGATATGTAAATGTTATTGCTTCATTCAGAAAGATTTATCTATGTGTGAGTTTAAGTTGCTTTACTTTAACATGCTAAATTTTTTTTTTTAGAATACTTCGGCTATAACATATCGGCGCAGCGAACAAGTTGAACGATGTGTTCATGCACTAGTGATAATGTTGCAGGTTGGAAATTTTAATTTTCGGTCTTTAATCGATCTACCAGGATTACTATTCTTAATTAAAATAGCTTTTTCATGTCACTGTCATATGGGATAATGCAAAATATTCATTATAGTGATCGATGAGTTATTGTTTTTCTGCAGGCTGATGATGATTCTTTTTATGCAGCAGTTTTGGAATATTAACTTTATTTACGCGATTGCAAGTTAATGAAGTTACACTGTTCTCTTGTTCTTTTCAACAGAACTTTCTTTCAGTTTATTTCTCAATCCATGAATTCATTTGAATATATTGGAATCACAACCTGTTATCTTACGGAATTTCATTTTAGTTATTCACACCTCATTTGGCTGCTGAATACTGGGCTGCGTTATGTTCCGTTCCTGCAATAAATAGTCATGCAGTGCGGCTAGATAAAGAAGTCAACGAACATCCATGGCCTCAAGTAGATCCGGATGCTAATATTGACTTCATGATTAATGTGATTTTTTTTTTTATTATATCTTGCTTCCTTAAAGCATTTGAGTTCATTAGTGTTTCGAATTATTCTATACTACATTTCTGGTATCATGAAATTTGATGCCTTATGCAATTATGTTATTAGGCTCCAGATGAAAACCTTTAATGCTAAATATCAACCTCTCCTATTTAGTGTATATGCTATTGATGGAGTAGAAAAAATTGTTGAGTTTTAAAAAGATTTCAGTGAGATACCTTTTGATTTGACTTTCTCAACTACAAAGCATGCGTCTTAAAAAATTTCAAAAAGTTAAAGACTAAAAATTTTCTCCCAGCTTTAAGGCATCAGGATTATTAAGCAAAACAGCTTAGTTTATTTTAATGTGGTAAATTTCTTTTTTTCCACCCTGAATTTTTCCTGTGTATTTGTAAAGCAAAGTTCAGCTTCATCTTTTAGGTTGGAAAATTAAGCTGTGGTCGAGTTGAGGTACCACGTCTAGAAATTGAACATCTGTCCGACGAAGAAGCTTTACAATATGCAATTAATGGTGTGCATAGTATATTTTTCCAGGAATTAGCATCATTGGGTTTCAGACCAGTATCTTGTAAAAAATTGTCTCGAACTGGTTCGTTTTAGCACTTAATAATTTTCTAAATGTTTTTAAAATTGTTTCGTAACTTTCACATTGTGCGATAACAAGGGCTTACTGCTATAATAGTATTTGCTTCACTTCATGTTTAAAAAACATTAGCAGCAATTATTTTTCAGGATTTTTTGTACTTCTTGAAGTTAAATTCGATCGTGTACCTGCAGATGAAACATTGTTAGAAATTTTAAGACAAACAAGAGCGCAGCGATTAAAAGCAAAGAGAGCAAGGAAAAAGGCACGAATGTAATTTTGCGAATGGCTGCAGCCACTGAATTCATTTCAATCCTCCTTTGCAACTCATGAATTAGAAGAGAAATATCGATAAATGTTATAGAATTTATCTTTCTTGTTTACTTTCTCTTGTTGTCGCGGTGATTTTGTTATGCTTTGAAATTATTTCAAATTTTCAGAGAATTTTAATATTTATCCAATCTATTTTTGCAATTTATTTTGAACTGAGCTAATAAAAGTACGGAATCAGCGAACAGATTGTTTTCTACACTTGCACCTGTCAGCGATATTTCGAATAATATGCTATGAAGAACGATGCCAACTTATGAATACATTGTCCGTCTCATTATTGAATTTATCATTTTCATTTTATGTTTCTCTACGAAAAGGCAAATCAATGTTTAAAAAGAATCGGAAATCATTGAAACATCTGACTTTAACAAGTGTAAAATATTATTCCACATCCAATTTCGGTTGGACATATAGCTTTCTTTATTTTAAATCAATGCTATCCAATAGCTGAAACTGATATATGCTATTACTGCATATTGCCGAATAACTGCAGAGCATTGCTCGAGAATGCCTATTTGATGACAATTATCCTTTCTTATGGCATTTCTAAAAGCATTTTAAGGATTATTAGTTTATTAGTTACTATATAATTTATTTTTTTTAACAATTTTATTTATTCATTTTCTATTATAATTTCATTGAGTCATTTATTCTTTGTTTAAATGCAAATTTCAGATTAAATTTTACTGTATCCACTAATTCAAGAAATATGATATTTTATAAAGCTATTCGGAATAAAGTCCACTCCTCTCAGCACTCTCACAATCTAAAAGATCGATTATCGGACAGGGGGATTTTGAATTGAAATGATTATTCGAGGAAGCTATTATGATTTTCCTCAATTATCTCTTCAATAAAAATTACCCTTCATTGTTTTTTGTCAATTTTGTTTTTTATTTTTTGTGTGTTCCCATTCTAATAATTTTTAAAAATATGCTTAATAAAACTTTTCGTTTTTTTTTTCATTATATATTTTAATAGCAATGATTAACAACTAATAAAAAAAAGGTGTTGAGAAGTAGCAAAAACTTTTTTCTTTTTTAATGAGATAAGTTTATTGGAGTTAGCAAGGAAGATATGAAACAGAATGAAATAGTATACAGTTTAGCAAGTAGGAACTTTAATTTCCTACAAAGAAAATACCGTAAATAAGCATTTCACCAATTCATTGTACCTTTTTTTTCATCCTGAATTAGCTAAAAGAAGTTTTAGAAAATTTTCCTTAATAAAATATTTATTAGATTAGTGGACGAACCTTCATCCAGTAATCTAATAAATTACTTTTCAGTCTTTGATAAAGAAAAATTGGATAAATAGGCGAAAGATAAGACTTCAAGAATTCACTTTTATTCTTGAAATCTACGTTTAACAAATAATGGAAATTTTATAAAAATGAATAAAAAAGAAAATGTAGTTGTGCCGATGTATTGGGAAAGGTTGAAAAAAAAAACGAGAAGTTACTTTCAGTTGAAGTAAAAGTAAAAATTATTTTTAAGTTCATAAATCTTAGTAGTCGATCGATTTTTTTATCAAGAAATGAAAAGTGCAAAATTAGAGAGAGGAAACAGATTGCAATGAATTAACATAACTCAGTTGTGACAAAATCCCATCCGGCAGTTGATTACAAAGCTAATTTATCTGAACACTTTTCATTTGAAGTGAAATTTGAAAGATTATTTTTATGTGAGAAAATTTGTTAAAATGTTTGAATTAACGGAAAAAAAAACAATCATTTTCATTCCAAAAGTTTTGCATCATTTAATATTAAATTATTCAATGAATTTTCAAATTATTTAATAAATTTTTTGTACATTTTCTTTGATATGGCACTGCAGGTTTAATTATGCTTGGAATAATAGAATTGTAGTTTCTGAATTTTCATTTTTTTTTTTTGTTTGACTTTAATTTCATTTTTCATTGATGGAAATGGAATAAAAATTTTCGATTAGATTTGCTGTAATTATGCGGAAAAAAAAAACAACTTAGAAGTGGAAATGTAAAGCTCAGTTTATTGCAAATTTATTTCAACGGATGTTTGCATGAGCAGAAAGTGACAGCTGTTCAATAATCATTGATCAATGAAATTTATTTAATATAACCATGGATATTTATATATGTTTGTGTATATGTATGTGTGTGTGTGTGAGCGTGTGTGTGTGTGTGTGTGTGTGTGTGTATATGTATTTGAAACATACACATCTATAGCGAATATAGTTATTTTATTAAAATTTAAATCAAAGTTATAAGATAAAATGATTTTAATAATTTAAAATTAATTTATTTAAATGTAATAACAAATTTAAATTGGATATTAAATTTTTTTGAAAAAAAGAATGTTATATTATTTGTTCAAAAATTTTTTGCAATTTAATTAAAAATGTAATTTTATCCGTGAATTAACTGACTAACAAACTAACCAACGTCGAATAGTGAAAAGTAAATTTACCTCTAACCAATTCATTTCTCAGTTACACTCACTGTTGTGTAAAAATTTTATTGTTCTTTAAAGCTTAAGCTATGCGATATGTTTCCGAAATTCCTTACCCACATTATTTTCAATGAATTTAAAATCTTTTAAAATTTAAACATTGAATATATATGCTGCATTAATTCATTTGTAAGATTGAGCATTTAAGTGATTGAATAAAAGAATGAAAAGGAAAAGATTAAGCAATGAATAATTTTTAACTTTAATGATTCTTTTTTTGAAAATATTGTTTGATGAATTATTAGAGAAATTGATGGGAATGAAATTAGAGCGAAATAGTTATTTTAACATTTGAAGAATTATTCCTTTTTTCTGTCATTTTTATCATTATTGCAAATTGTTACAAATTTGTTTGCTTTTTTTTTGAAAGCAAATAATTCAACATTTTATCGAAACTGATTTATTAATATTTTAATTGAAAACAAAAATTTGAAAACAAAAATTTTTTTTCATTCTTTAAGTCAAAGATTAGTAAAACATTGTTTGCTATACGATAATGTCAATAATATAAATTTGTATGACTCACATACGGTATTCAATTCAAAATACGAAAAGAAGAATGTTATCATTTCAAATAGCAATTTTAAAAGATGACAGATATGATGACAATTCGGTTTAAATAAGATAGTAACCTTTCTTACTTTATCATTTCTTCTTTATCTTTTTCTCATATTATTCATTAATTACTATTTGAATTTTGTATTAGCATCTCTATTTAGTTGAAAAATTTGGCAAATTTTTCAATGCGTAAAAATGCGACATGGACAAATATGTTGCTGGGCAATTTTGGAAAAATTTTAGGTATTGAATTTTTTACTAGTATTTTAATTAGATAGAGGAATTTGACAATTTTTAGACTTGAAAAGTGTGAGATTTCAATAAGAACTTTCTCAGACAATTCTTTTTATTAAATTTTTTAAAAATTTTGCATACCATATTTCCTTCTTTCTTTTTATTGTTTCATTAATTCTCACTGAAGTGTAAATGTCGCTAGTTAGAGTGTTCATTGTTAATTTCAAAACCTAAATGCAAAATTTTATGAATAATCAATCATTAGCTTTAATAGCCTTTCCAATTAAATTATCAACACTTGTTTAAACGATCGATTTTTAGCACCGATGCTTTTACCTCAATATCCTTTCAATTTTACATATTTCAACAATTTTAAATATTAAACTTAACCTGTCAACAATGAATGTTATTTTAAAGTAATGATTAATTAATATAACAATTAAAAAATAAATAAATCAATAAAAATGAACTTGTTGGAAGGAAGAGAAAAAAGGAAATGGAAATGAAAATATATTTACATTTAGCTTTTTGCAGTACATTTTTGTTTAAAAAAAAATTTTGACAGTGAAAAATTAAGACTAAAATATTTATGGAAGATAGGCAGGCCCTTCCATACATAGGCCCTTCTCACTAAAAATTTTCTCATTCTCGTAGAAGAATGGAAGGGAAGAAGTAAATGCAGCAATAACTATCACATCCCTATTTATTTATTGATCCAAATGTAAGAAAGAGCCTTGCTCTCGTGTGGGATATTTAGAAATGATAGCTAAAGGCCTAGTAGTTAAGGCTTCAAAGGAGAAGCATTGTTGTCTCAGGCAGAGAGAGAGGTATGATTGAAGCAAATTTTTTTCTAAATTTCTTTTTTTTATTATTATTTTGTTTTATTTATGACATTTCATAAAATTGTTTGAAGTTTTTTCCTTATTTTTTTGAATCGATTTTTAATTATGCATTGAAGAAAAAAAGATAGAAAAAGGAAGTTTTTGCATTAAAGGAAAAATTTTCAATTTAGTAGCAAAATTTGCAATGGTTATGAATTTAATTTTTGCAAATAAAAGATAAATATATGCTAAAAGATAATAGAAATTATTATTTGAGGAATGAAAAAATTTAATGAAGAAATGGAATTTGAATGTGATGATAAAATGAACTCTTCCAGGTTTTCATTCTTGGTTCGATTTTGTTAGGCTATTTTTATGTACCATTCTGTTAGATCGTCGCAGTTTCAATTTCAGAATAGCATTTATGCTAAAAGAATAATAACGCTAACTGCTTATCAAATTTAAAATGATTAATTCTGTTTGTTCTTTCGCCTAAAATGGTCGTTAATGTGCAAGCTATTCAATTTCATGTAAATTTTTTTCCCTTCCTTCCTTCCTTCTTTTCTTCCTTCCTTCTTTTCTTCCTTCCTTCTTTTCTTCCTTCCTTCTTTTCTTCCTTCCTTCTTTTCTTCCTTCCTTCTTTTCTTCCTTCCTTCTTTTCTTCCTTCCTTCTTTTCTTCCTTCCTTCTTTTCTTCCTTCCTTCTTTTCTTCCTTATTTACTTACCTTCTTACTTACTTATTTACTGCTATAAGAAACAACAAGGAAGCAACAATGAAATGATTGTTACATTGAGAGAGAAGATGAATTGAAACATATTAAATGATTGCATACTATCCTCAGT